GGCATTCACCCTTCTTCTTTAGGGTAATGTCTATGAAGAGGGAAAGAATGGGGTGTCATTGGTAAGAACAGGGGAAGAGGGTTCATGTCCCTCTTTAGAACTGGCAAATGATAGAACTGCCTCTGAATTTCCCTGATAATGAATTTGGAAGTGCACCTGGAGTGTCCTGTTCAGATAAAACATGTATAGGAAGCCTCTTAGTTTCCTACTATAAAAGAAAATGTTAGTGGCATTTCTCAAGGCAGTTTTGCACACTGCTGCTAGTCTTGCCACTGTTAATGGATAAAGACGACTCTGAGCTTGTAACAGCTATGTATGAAGGATACCCTCCCCATCAAAAACTCATTATAAAGCCTTGCTTATTTATCTTTCTGCATCAATTTCAGGTTTACAAGTGTAGTGGCCAACTGATTTTTTCTTTCGAAAGAAATTATTTTAGCAGTTTTCTCACATCTCTTGAGTCGTCACCTCTCTGTCTGTCTGTCTGTCTGTCTCTCTTACACTTCAAAACACTTCTACATGTTAAAATGACAAAGTTTTTGGAATAAGCCCTGTCTCGCCCCTATTGCTGATAATGTAGGGTGATATAAGGAATTGTAACAATACACACCAGATATTGAGAGGAGGAGGAGGGAGAGAGGAGAAGCACTCAATTTTTTTTAAAAAAGCAAACAAACACAGGGGATAAAAATGAGACCACCAGAACATCGACTGCCTTTTTATTTATTTTTCTCTTTAATCGTATTTTCTCTCTCTCTCTCTCCTCCCCACCCTACCCCTCCTCTGAGCCAATTCTGAACAGATCCTTTGGTCAGAACTCAGCAGGAAAGGTTGTTGAAAGCTTTGATAGTCAGTGAAGGAGAACATAACTACACAAAGCAGTAGCATGCACCAGTGGAGTCACCTTGCTGGGTGCACCTCCCTCCCAGAACAGCCCCCGATCATTATTCATCTAGACCTCCCTCTGGCCCATAGTACCATTGGCTCCAACAGCGCCTGATCCCCCGCTTGCCCTTTCCACAGGTATTGCTAAAGCAAATAGCTCACGGTATTTACTAGGTGTGCAGTGCTTTAAATCATATTAATCTATCCAATAAAGTATTTACAGCCAGTAAAAATTCCACCGTGGCGCAGCCGATCTGCAAGAAGGATGAATGGTGGAAAACACAAAAAGCCCGGGCTGGCCCTGCCCCAGACAGATTGTCTGAAGTCTGTTCCTGGGAAAGGAACAGCGAATGGGGAGAGAGGGAGCAGCGAGCACCTGGGCCTCATCTGGGGAACAGAAAACACAGGCACACGTGTCACGGCGGCAGAAGGAAGCAAGCAAGCGTGTGATAGAACAACAAATGGTGGAGCCCAAAGAAACTCCAGAAGGTGATCAGAGCCGTGTCTTTGTTCACGATCCCTGCATTTGGACGCCATAATCTTGCCCACACCCATGCGCACCAGGCAGCACTAATTTCGAGGGATCAGATATGCTGTTTCAATTTTCATTCTCGGCTTGATTTCCTAGCCACAACTGAAACATGATTCTGACTCCTTATATCCTCTGGCTCAAAGTTTCTCTGGACAGATTTCCAGACTCTGTCCCCTGGCTTGCCTGCTTAGCTATGCTCACTCTTAATTCTTGCTGATGTGTCTGGTTCTTGAAAAGACTCACCCACAAGATCCAGACCCTGAAAGTGCCACCAGCATCTCTCAGTCGTCCCCAAAAGGAGGACTGTTATCTGATAATGCTTTGAGAGCTATGGATTTTTAGGTTGTTTCAGGACTGAATCTTGTGCTCCTCCCACACAAATTTGTGGGTTTCCCTGGCTCATAAATTCTTTCCCATTTTCTTTAAGGTCATGAAAACAGCTTCTGCTGAGGCAGAGACTATTCGAGGAAACTAAGTATGAAACAATTAAATGCCTAAAACTAGACTAACAACATATGTTTGACTAAGCAATTTCCATCTGTGCCATTGTTTTCAGAATGCAACCTACTGCCTCAGAATTGAATTGAATTTAGGTAACTCATTGGGCCCAGTAATGGTGCATATCAAGTATTAATTTCTTCTTCTTCTTCTTCTTCTTCTTCTTCTTCTTCTTCTTCTTCTTCTTCCACCTTTTTCCCACCAGATTTTGATAAACATCAGTTCACCTATAGGAGATATAGGTCAACAGCCATAGCTACAGCTTTTCACCTTGCAGCGAGTCATCTGGAGAGTCTGGGGAATTGTGTTAGAGTGTTGTTTATTGATTATAGCTCGGCTTTAATACCATCCTTCCAGAAATCCTTATCAAAAAGCTGATGGAACTAGACCTTTCTTCCACCATCTGTGACTGGATCAAAGACTTCCTGAGGGATTTGACACAAACAGTGAGGATTGGGCCTGTTACATCTACCTCCCTGAAGCTCAGCACTGGCACCCCACAGGGATGTGTGCTGAGTCCCTACCTGTACTCGTTGTATACATATGACTGTATTTCATCTGATTCATCTACTGCAATTATTAAGTTTGCAGATGATACTACCATAATGGGTCTAATTACAGGTGGAGATGAATCAGCGTACGGGGGGAGGCTCAAAAAGTATCTACATGGTGCCTAGAGAATAACTTGCACCTAAATATTAGCAAGACAAAGGAGATGGTGTTGGACTTTCGGAGGAAGAGAGGGGAACTAGCCCTGTTGTATATGGGGGGGGGGGTTGTGTGGAGAGAGTCTCTTCCTTTAAATTCCTGGGAGTTTACCTTAGTGAAGCCCTGACTTGGAAAAACAATATAACTCAGGTGGTGAGGAAGGCCCAACAGAGACTCCATTTCCTCAGGGTCTTGTGAAAGAAAAATGTTAAACAACAATTGATGACCTCCTTCTACCGGTCCACAATAGAAAGTGTCCTCTCATCTTGTATCACCGTGTGGTACGTTGGCTTGACAGGCACGGACAGAAAGTCTTTACAGAAGGTGGTGAACACAGCACATGATATCATGGGCTGTCCCCATAGTCCGCTAGATGACATCACAAGGGATCGATGCCTTAGGAGAGCGAGAAAAATTCTCAGGGACGATTCACACCCCGGCCAGCACCTCTTTAATCTTCTACCCTCAGACAGGAGATATAGAAGTTGCTGCACTAGCGGAAGCTAGTGCAACATCTTCCTCTGGTGAAGCCTTTCTCAACCTGTGGGTCCCCAGATGTTGTTGAACTACAACTCCCATCACCCCTAGCTAGCAAGGCCAGAGCTCAGGGATGATGGGAGTTGTAGTCCAACAACACCTGTGGACCCACAGGTTGAGAACCGCTGCTCTAGTGCACTAGGACTTTTCCCCTCCCCCCCCATAACTGCTCACTGAATAGGTTCTCGGGGGGTGGCAATAGAAAGCTGCCTACTACTAAGTGAGAGCCTTGGTCCACCTAGCTCACCTGAGCCACAGCCTTTCCCCATGCCAACAGCTGACTAGGCTCAGAGTGACATCATCAAATGAAGTATATGATTCCCAATTGGTTAGAAACATATACAAGAAGAAACAGGGGTTTGTTACTTATTAGGAAATAAAGGGGTTAGTGCAAATTGGCACGAATGTGTCTCTGCAGGTAATAGAGAGGCAGGATTGTGAAACGTTTCAGGCACGCTCTCCCAAACCCTTTCATGCCCTAGAGATCCAGCTGCGAACATTCAGCATAGCCCTAATAACTAGTTGTGGGGACCTGTTCTAACCCCTTCCTTCCTCCTTTTTCTCTCCCCCAACCCCTTTAATGGCTTCCTTAACTGGATATTTATTTATTTAGCTTGAAGTAAGCGATAGCTGGGATAGCTGATTATTTGTTCTGGGATGAGTTGCATGAGAGGAGGGGAAGTTTAATACTGTTATCCATTTAACAGCAATGTGGCAGGGGTCATGTTAAATTTTTAAAAGAGCCAATCCATATCTGGTATTCAGGAGAATGCCTTCGAACTCAAAGACTGTGGTTTTCAGATAGTGCACCTCGTTTAGAAGCCAAGTCGGGGTCTACTAGTGAGCCTCCTAAGTGAAGTTGTGACGATAAGCTCCTTGTCCAACATCAGACAACTATAACTAGAAGTGGAGGAGGTTGCTCAGATGACTTCCTGAAGCAACATACCAGTTGCCAGCATCATGTCTCTTCTCCTAGAGGCAGAACTTGATGAGCTGTAAAAAGACTTTAGTCACATCCAGGAGGGAGATGACTAAGCTGACATCGGGGTTTGTTTTTTTTTTAAAAAAAATATTAATTCCTCTACTTCCCAAACCAATGCAGTGGCTATATGATCCGTTTGCTTCCAAAAGTTCATGTGATTCTACTGCAACTCCTCTGAGTGGGTAGAGATGACTCAGACTTTCGTAAATGCTGCTAGACCACACATGACACCTAAGTAGGAAAGGTTTCCTTACCTTTTTTTTCTTTTTAATAAAAAAAAAATGCACTAAAGAGAAGAGAGCAAGAAGCTCATGGTGGCTTCACGTTAACATTTTTGAGTGGGAATAGCCCCGCCTGTTTGCACTTCATCTGTTTGATAAAGGACCATTTAGTGAGAATTTTCTACCTTCCGGTTCTAAGACGGGCAAATACACTTTTCTGTCATGGTGGCTGGTGCACAGAAGACCTGGAGGAGCAGCTGGGAGGCCACAGGGTGAAGCCAATCAGATCACGGAGGCATGGCCAAGTTGCTCTGGTTTTCTCCCCATCTTCCACTCTTGCAAAGATTCTGTTGAAACTTAAGATTGCAGGTTGCCCAATACAATCAATGTGACAGGCAATTGCCTCAGGAGTAAAAGTTATTTGACCTTTTCAGGGATACTTCCTGAAGGTCTAGTTGAACAGTGCCCACCTGGAAGCATCATGTGAATATCTCTAACAGAAAACACGTTTCATATTTCCTAATATCTCGCTCTTCCAAATTCTACCTCTCGGTATCTTTCATAGAATCATAAAATTGTGGACTTGAAAGGACCATGAGGATAATCCAGTCCAATTCCCTGCATTGCAGGAATCTTTTGCCCAACGTGGGGCTCGAACCCACAGCCCTGAGATGAAAAGTCTCATGCTCTACTGACCAAGTTATCCCGTAAAGCACTTTACGAAAATGAGTGTTATTAAGCAATGTCTCTCCGGGTTTAAAACAGCATAGAGCAGCAATGGCTTATTTTTAAATGTCACAGGGGAAAGAAAAAGAAGTGATGGAACAAGACATGAACTCATGGAATGGTTTATGCACAAGTCTGCTTCATTACGTTGTTCATTCGAAGACCAAATCCTTAAAAAATAAATATGTAGGTGGGCAGCGTTTTCCCATGTTACCACCTAGTATTAATCAGGTTATTTAGATGTCTAAGAGTTAAAATTTATTCTGCTGTACATACAGCTAGGGCTAGGGGAATAAGGCATTTACCTTAAGAATCCAGGAACATAAGGTATTCTGTTTTGTGTTTCTGCTGCTGCTGGATTCGACGCATCCCCTCCATCTCCTATCCCCAGCTCTGAAACAAGATTCCTACCTGGCCTGTTAAGGAAATCTTGAAGGGCAATCACCTCAAATGACGCCTACACCTATAAACATGCCCCCCACCCCTTAAAACAACAAATCCCTCAATCTGTGGGGTGTGTGTGTGTTTGTGTGTGTGTGTTTTTACAAGCCTGACATGGAATGGCGTAGAAAAGATCAGCGCCGACACCCAAACGGGGCAAGGGAGCCTTTGCAAACTGTGTCCAGAGTCAGTCAAGGAGAAAAATAAACATTCACGGCATAATTGGAGAATGGATTTGCACAAGCTGAAAACAAACTCCTCTGTTAATTAGTGATTCCAACCTAAACGGCTGCGTTTCCATGAAAAGCAGTCAAGTCAGGAAGAATAAGCCCTTACACAGCCATCCACAACACAGTTAACAGAGAGCCAGCATGGAAGGCAACTCCCATCAGGCCTGGCCAGCGTGGCCAATGGGCAGAAATAATGAGAACTGTAGTCTAGGAATACTTGGAGAGCCACAGTTTCCCAGATCCCCTGTGCAATGGATATGATGTTAGACTAAGACTGGGGACCAGTTCTAATCCTGCCCAGCTATGAAGCTCACTGCATGATTGGACCACAGTCACAATCTGTTGCTGGAAAAGTCACTTAAATAACACGAACGGAGGCCAGAGAGGAAACAGATTCTGATAACACTGAGGAACAGCAAAAGCCCGAGACATTTTGGCACCTGAGGTAAACCACAAAATGGCTCCCTTTCCCCCACCAGGGAAGAAGGAGTGAGTGAATATCTGCATCAGAATCAAGGGGGGGGAGGAATCTACATTGGGAATGAGGGGGGAACATGTGTTGCACATGGAGTAATGTCATGTCCCCTGAAGGAGGCTGTGCACTCTGGCGGATCATCACACATAACGTCACATGCACTCAAGACATGCACCGGGCCCCTCACCATTGAGGAGCCGAGTCCCCTTCAAACAAATATTGAGGGGGCTGAAGACACCTTGGGCCCCTAGAGTTGGCATGGCTGGAGGGGGGTGGAGAAATAAAGATTTACAATGGGAACAAGGTTGGGAGAAGACCAGCACATCCTATTTGCCCAGAAGCGGCTGTAGAAGTGGCATTGTGGAGGTTGCCAAGGGACGGCAAATCCAAACTCCAAGGAGCACACTGCAACAGTTGTTGCGTCTGTGGCAGCAGGAGCAGCAGAAGAAGCTGCCGCCTGAAGCAGTCACCTCACCTTGCATCATGGGTGGGTTGGCCCTGGCAGGAAGTGTCACAAAATCCTGTGCTCCCACCATAGAATTGTGCCCCCCCCCAAATTATCTAGACTGACAGTTCTGAAGCTCTGCACATCACTTAATAAATGGATGCATGTGAAACTTTTGGAAATCACTTCTGCTGAAAGTGTCACGACGCAGCGTTACCTTTGGGAGCGCTGGCTCACACATCCAGCTCATCACTTGTCAGTGTTGCAGTCACTGAGGGATAAACATGTGTGAATGACCGCTCCCCACATTAAATGGGGGCACCCTTTGCGTGGTCACCTGCAGCCCCCTGGACCCTATGCAGCACCTTAGCACAGGCTTGGCTTCACCTTCCCTCAGGTGGGATACCTGGAGGTCTCTGCCTACCTCAGCCAGTTGTCCAGTCGCACCTGGGGAGGCATTGCCAAGGTGAGCAGGTCAGGTAGGGGGAGGGACTACCTGCCCACACAGGTAGGATCTTACCTGGGAGGATCTTACCTGGGAATCTTCAGTTGTCTCCAGAACTTCTCCCACTCTACCCACACTCAGTTAAGACTTCTTTTGCAGTTTACCTTTTCTCCACAGGTACGTGGGCGCTGCTATGTCAAGGTCACTGTTGAAGGGCCAGAAAGGAATTCTCCTGCATTGGCAGGTTTGCCTTTCCCGTAGCAAAACGTCACAACTTTGGCGGTATCAGGCCTTGGGCGGAATCCTTTAGTCTATCTTCCCTAAATGGGGGGGGGGCGTGTAGCGGTGACCCACACCCACCTCTTCTTTGCAGCGGCGATACCAGGGTTCCCCGTTAAAGGGGTTGTTTTGAGGGGAGGCTTTGGCCGTACGCCTAGAGGTTGTCATTGCTCTCCCCTGCGACGGCGGCATAATGGGGGCGGGCTCTCTCTGCGTGAACATACATTCTCCAGAGCCAGCCAGCCCCCCCCCCGATAACCCTGATGTTCCCCAGATCCCCGGCGGGGGACTGGAAGGGATAAACGCCCAATGCCTGAGCCGAGGTCTACCCACATCTGAAACATAATAAAGTTGTGGCCAATTTTAATCCCATATCACGTTGTCTTGAGTCGTTATTCCACACAGGGGCCGCCCAGGGTTTGGGAGACCCTGCCTGTCCACGCAATGTGAAACCTTTTGGAAATCACTTCTGCTGAAAGTGTCATGACACGGCGTTACCTTTGGGACTGCTGGCTCACACATCCAGCCCGTCGCTTGTCAGTGTTGCAGTCACTGAGGGATAAACATGTGTGAATGAACCTGCTCTCTGCCTTTTGAGATGTGTGAAGTACAGATTAAGAGCATTAAAGGCCTCCGCCCTCACGTGTGAAATATGCTACAAGAAATAGCTTCAGAGAAGAGGTTCCGTCATCGCCTTGCATTATCCTCTCAAATAAGAAGAAGCAGAACCTTCCGGGATCACTCAGCCCCACGTGCTTCTTCCATATCAGTCAGATTCTAATATAGGTATTGCACATTCTTGCATGGCATGACGCGATGGAAATTAATATGTTAATACGCACACATACATGAAAAAAACAGTTCCAATTACTTTTTTTAGAGCGCTTCCGTTCCTGCTGCTTATGACTAAGTGTAGGTAATTAAATCTGGATCACTTTTTCCACTCCACCCATACTTAGCAAAAACCTGTTACAAGTTTTCTCAACGCTCCTCACCCCCCCCCCCAAATCCCTGAGAAAAGGTTGCAAGATTGGCAGGCATGACAGTGACATATGATTCCTTTTTAAGTCTAGGTAATAATAGTAATAGTAGTAGTAATAATAATAATAATAATAATAATAGAAATAAATAAATAAATAAAACGTTGTGATGATGTAAGCACCCTGTGTTTGTACATAATATAAATACAGTAGTACCTCGGGTTACATACGCTTCAGGTTACATACACTTCAGGTTACAAACTCCGCTAACCCAGAAATAGTGTTTCAGGTTAAGAACTTTGCTTCAGGTTGAGAACAGAAATCGGGCTCAGGTGGCGTGGCAGCAGCAGGAGGCCCCATTAGCTAAAGTGGTGCTTCAGGTTAAGAACAGTTTCAGGTTAAGTACGGACCTCCGGAACGAATTAAGTACTTAGCCCGAGGTACCACTGTAGTATATATAAAGGGCAGGATTCAAGCCATCTGTGCCATTAGTGGAAGGACTCTGTAAAGTCTTCTGCTTGTGCTGTGGGGCTTTCCACACTCTTCTCTTCCTGTGCACACCCTGTTTTATAGGGGAGTCAGGAGTATCCCAGAACAGTGCATAAGTGGAGGAGAAGCAGGATTGTCTGCAAGCTGAAATGTTTGCCCTGGCAGAAGGAATGCCTTAGTGCAACATTGATTTCCTCCCAAGGTAATTAGTAAAAACACTGGTCACCTGACATTTGTCTAGAATGCTTCTACTTAGTCTATAACAGGATTGGTCCTCCAGATGTTGTTCGACTACAACTCCCATCATCCCTTGCCATTGGCCATGCTGGCTGGGGCCGATGGAAACTGGAGTCTAACAAATATCTCCACAGCCAGACATTTCGTTCCCCATGCCTGGTCCTTGACAAACTGGGAATGGAAACTTTTTTCTCTCTGAATTCGCACTGCAGCATTTCCATTAATGTGCATGTCATGCCTATCAATGCTGTTTTCCTTTAAATGCAGGGTTTCTCTTTTGCAAGCTCCCTTCATCTGCAATAGATGTTGGATCTATCAACAGCTATTAGCTATGAAACCTAAATGGGAAACCCAGGATTAGAGTCCGTGCATCTTCTGAATGCAAGTTGTGAGGGATGGTTGCTACCAATTCCAATCAAATCCCCCTTTTGTATGGAGGAGCTCTATGCACGTGAATTGGTTAATTCATATAGCCCCTTCTCATGCTCACTCACCAGACAGACAGCTAGCAGGGGACATGGTTAGTGGGCATAAAAATATGAAGGTAGTCTATGACTATGATACACATCCGACTGTTACACTGTGTTGTCTTATTCATACAATGTTTTTTAGCCCAAGAGCCCCCAAAACCGGGAAGAGCATATTAATACAAGGAAAGATATAATATAATATAATACAGCAAGCCAATGATATACAGTAGAACCTCAATTTACGTACAGCTCTACTTACATAGGTAACGCAGCAATGAATATGCTAGATTTGCAGAATTAGCAGAAATTTGTATAATAATATCCAAGCCATGATGACCATTGACCCCCTCATTCTGCCATGTCTGGGTAGATGAGGCTGCAGTTTGAGCATCATCCCTGTTCCCATATAGTGGGTATGGGGTGATGGCATTGTGGCTGACCATGGAGAAGAGGTATGGCACCAGGATGTAACTATGTATATCCATGCCATGTCTGCA